AAAAAAAAAAGAGAAAAAAATTGTTGCATCTAACTTTTTTCTTTTTAATTTGACAGAGGGTGCATATACTAGCCAGAGAGAGAGCAAGGGAGAGAAAACACCCCCCATGGGAGTGGTCACACTGCAATTTGTTCTCCTGTTCTCCCTCCTTTTGGGATTTTGGGCACATATGTACATGTACCCGGTGTGTTTGTCAAGCCACTGGAGCTCAGATTTGAACTGCATTCAACCACATGGGATCTAGTTCCCTTACCAACCAGGCTATGGGCTGACCTAATAAGTTTTGTGCTTTTTAAAGTTTAAAGTGAGAAATCACCCCCAGAATCTCCACAGAAAAGATGTGGTGTGGTGAACAGGTGAAAGAACCCGTAAGAACCTCTAGGGGCAGTGTTGCCCAAGGCCATCTTCTTGCCTAACATTTAACTTGTCTTACTTTCTCCTTTTCTTTGCCTTTTTTTATAATTATTTATTTTATTTTATTTATTCATTCATTTTATTTTTTAGTTTAACCAGAGAGAGAGAGAGGGTGAGAGTGAGAGAGAGAGAGGAAGTGAGAAAGCAAGCCACCAGATTCAGGTCTTGAACCACGGTTGGCCATGTGGGAGTCTAGCACCTTCAACTACCGCGCCGCCTGCCAGCCCCTCCTCTTGGGATTTTGCATGCTCATATGTCCAACATTATCTTTAAGCTGCCAGGTTCAGGACTTGAACTATGGTAGGTTATATGAGAGCCCAGTGCCTTAACCACCACACCACCTGCTGACCCCATAAGAAGGGGTTTCAGAGAGACAGAAAGTGAGAAATCACCCCCCAGGGGGTATGGCCACAGCACAATCCCTTTTCCTCTGTTCTCTTGGGAGATTTTGGGCATGGACGCACTTGAGCTTCGTGTGAGTTTCAAGCTGCCAAGTCCAAGACTCAAAGTGGAGTGGACTACGTGGGAGTCCAGCGACGTGACCATTACACCATCCGCTGGTCCCTCTTCTCCTTTTCTTTTCTTTTTTTTTTTTTAAAGAATTATTTATTATTGTTATTATTATTTTTCACATGAAATTTGCCAAAGACAGAGAGGGAGAAAGAGAGGGAGTGTGAGAAAGCAAGCTACCAGGTCCGGGACTCGAACCACGGTCAGCCACGTGGGAATTCCAGCATCTTAACCACCACGCCACCTGCTGGCCCCCCTCTTCTCCTTTTCTAAATTCGTTAGAGGGCGTGTCTGCTTGCCTGGCCGGGGAAGTAAGGAACCACCTCCCCAGGGGGATGGCCATACAGCAATCCCATCTCCTCTCCTCTGTTCTCCTCTTGGGATTTTGGGCATACTTACACATGTACCCAGCATGTTTTTCAAGCCACTTGGTCTAGGACCCAAACCATGCAATCAGCCACATGAGACGCAGCGCCTTAACAACCATGCTACCCGCTGGTCCCATTTACCTTCTTTTTGTTTTTTTAAATTATTTATTTTTTATTTATTCATTAATTTATTTTAATTTGACCAGAGAGAGACATAGCGAGAAAGAGAGGGAAAGTGAGAAAGCAAGCCACTTTAACTGCAGTCAGCCATGTGGGAGTGTCTAGCACCTTAACCACCACGCCACCTGCTGGCCCCAACCATTTAACTTCTTCTTTTTAAAAAATAATTATTTATTTAATTTTATTTATTCATTCATTTATTTCAATTTGACCAGAGAGAGATACACAGAGAGAGAGGGAAAGTGAGAAAGCCAGCCACCAGATCCAGTACTCGAACCGCAGTCCGCCACGTGGGAGTGTCCAGTGCCTTAACCACCACGCCACCTGCTGGTCCCCCATTTAACTTTTTATCTTAGGTTCTTTTTTTCTGGGATCAATACCACCATCCTTACCTTGTTTGCATTTGCATTTGCGGTTTTTTAAAATCAGCCTTTCTAGTTGCTTTAACTGCGACCCTGTAAACAGTACTTAGTGGACTCGGTCGCTTTTCCCAATATGAAAATCTCTCTCTTTAAAGTGAGAATTTAACACGTTTACATTTTTTTAAAAGAATTATTTTATTGGGACCAGGAGTTGGCATAATGGCTTTGTTGCTGGACTCCCATGTAGTTGACGGAGGTTTGAGTCCCAGACCTGGTGGCGTAAACTCACGCCAGGTGCACGTGCGTGCGTGCTCAAGATCCCAAGAGAAGGGATTGCAGAGTGGCCATCCCCCCGGGGGGATTTAGCTTTATTTATTTATTTATATTTACTTATTTTAGTTTGACTAGAGAGGGACAGAAAGAGAGAGAGAAAGTGAGAAAGTAAGCCGCCAGGTCCAGGATTTGAACTGCAGTCGGCCATGTGGGAGTCTGGTGCCCCCCTACTGTAAATATTGCCAGTAAATATAGCCATTCTCAAATTTAAAAGTACCACATCTAAATTTGGAGAAACAAAAATATTCATAATATGGATATACATATTTTTATTTTGAGCATCTGGAAGTACCTCAGAAAATTATGTAAGTAATTTTACATTTGATAATAAACTGATGATGACTGAGGATTACAGACTTGTGTTACAGGTCGTTCAGATTGAATATGTTTTTAGTTCTACAGAAGTGACTATATGGTTGGTGAAACTGTGATGATAAAGAATTGATAGAGCTGGGACCAACATGTAGCATAATGGCTATGTCGCTGGACTCCCATATAATCGCCTGCAGTTCGAGTCCCGGACTCGGTGGCTTAAAATCACGAAGGGCGCATGTGCGTGCGTGCCCAAGATCCCGAGAGGAGAAAGGCATAGCCATCCTCCTAGGGAGTGATTTCTCGCTTTCTGTCTCTCTGTCTCCCTCTGTCTTTCTGGCAAGTGCACATGCCTATAGCAAAACCTCTCCAAAAAAAAAAGAAAAAGAAAAAAATATATATATATATATAAAAGAACTGATAGATGACATTGAGATTAAGCAAATATGGTTTTACCTAATGGAGAGACACCACAGTCAATCAATATATCATACATAGGATTGGCTTTATTAAGAGAGAATTTATTAGGAGATCATTTGTTAGGAGATCATTTCTATTATGTGAAAGTTGGATTCTCTGAGCAGCAGAGACTGAGACTGAAGTTCAGAACTAGGATGATTTACTAGGGAGAAATTCCTATTTAAAAGTGGGGAGAGTGGCAAGGAATAAGTGAGACTGTTTTGGAGAAACTTTCAGATAGGATAAAATTTGTCAGCCCAGCAGAGAAGTCTGAAAGAAACATTGCCTTTCAGAAGAGTATTTATCATGTTAGCAAAAATGGCCTTATTTTTGTACCATAGTTTATTGAGAGATGTGCTGCGGCCACATCTGGAAGAGTGACCTTGGCTCAAAAGCTGTAATGAGCCAGAGTTAAGAACTGAAATCTATCACCCAGACCACACTCTTTAGAACTCTAGACACACAGATATCCAAAATGAAGCAAACAAAACATATGTATTTTTAAACTATGGCAAAAATTCAGCTAAAGGAGAATGTAGAATGTAGTGAAATAGGACATATACCATAAAGCAATGGAATAAAGAAAAGAATTAGCTGGGCAAGGGCCTTCAGTCACCTGCAGGGTGCATCTCGTGAGTGCCACATCTGATACAAAAGTCTGATGAAAAGCATTGTATTTTCACCAGTTAATAAACACAATCCATTGAGTCAAGGTCATTGAATAAGACCTCAAATTGTGTGTTTTTAAATTAAAAGGTTTTGCTTACTAGAGAGTATTGAGGGTGCCACCAAGGAGTGTCAGAGTTTAAAACAGAGATATAATGGAAGTGAAGTCAATGTTAATAAATTAATAAAATTTTGTTGTGTAAAAAAACAGGGAGATAAATGACATGCATGAAAATCTCCAAAATGAAGCAAACAAAATACAAACACTTTCAAAATATGATACAAATTCAGATTAAAGGAGAAATA